GTACCGCGCCCTCCGGGTACCGGCACCAGCCGCACCTGCGCCCCGCTATCCCCCAGGCCCCCCCGGCCTGCCTTGCTCGCGGCACCGGCACTGCCCTGCTATCAGCACCCCAACCTTCCCGACCGAGACACCTGCACAGCCCGGGGCACCCCGCACCACCCCAGTGAACCCCCATCTGTGGGGGCATCCCGGCTCGGCCCCCGGCATCCTGCACTGTCCTGTGCGTACAGAATCCTGCCCCACTGCAGCCTGCCCCAGTCACTCTGCAAGGGTCCCTTTCCAGCCTCGCACAGCCCTGGGCCGTGCTGCCCCGGCACACCCCACAGCAGCTGGAACTCCCTTCAGCCCCGGCGTGTTTCCCCAGCCAGGGGAGCGGTCCCCGCTCTCGTACTGCTCCGCAGTGCCCAGCGGGTCTAGGGAGGGTGCAGCAGATACTCAATATGGGGTGTCCCGTCCCAGCCTCAGTCTTGGGGCCCGGCCCAGCCCTGCCACGCACCGGGCTTCAGTCTCAGCAGCCACAGCCCCATAGGCTCCCAGCAGCACCGCGCAGCAAGACCCAGCACCTCTGTCATTCCCCTTCCCAGCATGGGGGTATTTTCCCCTCCCACTCATGGCCTCCTGGCAGGAGCCGCCTCTCCTACAGCCTGCCGCTGCCCATAGCAATGTTTCAGTCTTGCCTGATGGGATTACAGAAATCATTTGAAACAGGGCATGGATTTGGGTCTTGATGGATGTATCTGATTGCTGCCTCCCTCTGCTATTGCCAAGGTAGCATCAGCTGCGATGCCTCCACGAGTAGGCACCGTTTCCTGTTTAAGATGTTTGCATGGAAGCGTCTGAAGGGCAGCAATTAATTTCGAGTCTCCCACGCACCCCTGGCACCTGCACTGAATCTGTGAAATGTGCCGTGGCAGGGAGATCCCTGCACCCCAGTGCACATAGGGCTTCATCTGCCCCAGTGCCTTCCAGCTGCTGCTGCAGAGCAGGGCAGAGCTTTTCTGCTTCTCCTGCCCTGCTATCTCACCCAGGGACTTCTTACGGGTGGTCAGCAGCTTGACTGATCTTGTTGCTGACCAGTTATACACAGGACGATGTATATAGGGCATAATGATATAGCTCACCATATATATATATATATATATATGTATGTATGTATGTATGTATGTATATTTATATATATAGAGAGAGAGAGAGAGGGTGAGCTGCAAGCTGCCACCCACTATGCTGTTGAGCAGGCAACATGGTCCAGCACTGCCTGAGATGGATGCACAACCTTGCCCCGTGCTTACTGGGGTTCATTGGCTCTGGGAAGCATCTTGAAGGAGCTCCTGGACTGATGCTGAGCTGCCCTGCAGCAGGTAGGGCATAAGGCATACCTCCCTGGGTCCCACTGCCCAACAAAGGATGGGGTCATGAAGCACAGCTGCAGCAGTGCCTTGTGGCCCGTTCCCCACCATGAGCACTGCAGGAGAGCTGGGTACTCACACAGCTGCTCCACACCCAGCTTCAGCTGCTTGACTGAGCAGTGATCGATTTTCTTGCACAACACCAGTTCTGACAGTGCCTGACAAGCCACCTTTGCCCGGGGTATGGTCCATGGGGACCCTTTATGCCAGGCTGCTGGATGGGGTAGATGTGTAGGGCAGAGCCTGCTTCAGCTCATCCATCCACCCCAATGCATCAAGATTTGTTGCAATCTCAGGCTTCTCCTCAGATGCTGGGCACAGCCCGTGTAGCATCGCTTTCAGGGAGCCCAGCATCACAGGCACAGCCCCACACCACCCCCTCCCTGGACTGCTGGCCACAGCAGGGCAGCTGTGTGCATTACTCAATGGGCAGTGTGTATTAAAATGCCCCCAGTTGCCTCTGGCTCTGTCACAAGCAGCGTTTAGCCACGACTCGGAGAAGGAGCAGAAGGACTGGAAGCTGTCAGACCTGCTTAAAGCAGCTCAGTGCTAATGTGCAGCACAGCAGCTGCAAGGCACGCAGCCAGGCCAGGCAGAGCACAGCTCCCCAGACAGCCCTGTGCTGTGACCACGTCTTGCACTGGTCTCCACGTCCCCCTGCAACCTCCTGCACCCACTGGAAACTGAGGGTTGTGTGGGATCTTGGACACCGTGGCAGCCTGGCGTCTGTCACCACAACAGAGTTCTGGAGTGCTGCTCATCCCACACAATCCTGGCCTGCCAAGCAGCTGACACAGCTGGGGGAAGCCTTTTGACAGAGGAAGAGCGGGGCCAGCCCTGTTGCTGGGCCATGCAATAAAGGGTCCTGTGGCAGAAGGCACTTTGCTACAGGAAGGGACAAGTCATCCTCTTTCTCCCAGGAAGGCAGGGGGGCTCCTGGGGTGCTTTCACCAGATCCCCCCATCAGAGCTCCCCGCAGGAGGTCAGCACCCGACTCGGTGTGCTCGCACTGCAGCACTCCCACCTCGCCCCAGCTGCCGTGCAAGGGCCACCCCAGGGCACCCCTGTCCAGCCAGCCCGGCTGTGCCGCCTCCCAGCCCGCTCCGGCTGCTGCAGAGCCGCCCCCCTCCCACCGCCGGCGCGGCAGCGATGCAGAAGGAGCATCCAAGATGCCGCTTGGCGCAGGCTCAGCTGCCTCCCAGGGCCGGCAGAGGAGGGGGCTGTCGGCCATGACCGTACACACCAGGAAGGGGGCCATGGCATGTCGTGGGCAGAGACAGTGCCCCGTGTTCCCAGGCAGTGGCCCCTCCGTGTCGGGATGAGGGAGCAGAGTCCTCCTGCCGCACCCACGGCTCCCTCCGAGCAGGGGCCGCCCGACACAGCCATGGCCAGGAGCAGGGCTTCCATGTCTGGGTCACAGCACACGGGCAGCCGGCAAGCAGAGTCCCTGGCACGAGCCCCTGGGGCAGGGGGAAGATGAGGAATGCAACAGC